TCACACTGGGAATTGTCTCATCACAAGGTGCAAAACTGCAGCGATCAGAAAATAGTCTTACACTTACTAGTATACTGCTGTGAAGCTTATGGTATGAGGATGTTCTGCCAACAATCACTGAAATACACGGTAAAATTCTGAAAACATTAACTCCTAGTGTTGGGGAGGGGCAACTCAAGCAACTGAGGCCAACCTTCTGTTCAACACAGGAATGCAAATTAAAGCATTCTTGACAGATGGTGGTCTAGCTTCTGCGTCAACTCATCCAGTGCTGGCCACTTCCCTAGATCTCTGATTCTTTTGTTGAGTGCCCTTACAGGTAGGAGATTTCTTCCTAATAGGGCCTTCCGGTAACTTAGGACCCAAATTTCATGGCCTGCAGTCTCGGACAACAGAGAACATGCCTTGCTTTACCTCTCTTTGATGCAGCGATGGCTGCAAGGTCTAGTTAAAAGATGTCAAATTGGTAGCTGCGATGGTGCCATTGAAGGGTCCCCTGTTTATGGGCAACCTACTTAAATAACAGATGGTGCTTCGCTTGCACCACGGCAGTCACCAGCTTGACTGTTTTGACCTACCCTGCCGACATTCCTGCTTTGATACTTTTTCAAGTACATCCTGTTCTCCTCAACCTCTTCTCAGAGGACTGAGCTTTTAGTCTCTCAATCATCTTGGATGCCCTTCCCTGGATCCATTCCACTTGGACCGAATCCTTTGTAAAGGGTTGTATCCTAATCTAGGTACAATTCTCAGTGCTCGAGGTGGGGGAGTCTCTTCATTATTGGTCTCCAACTGAACTGTAATTCAGAAAATGAACATAATGACCAGAAGCAACCACCCAGCCAATCCCCAAAGCAACTGAGACATTAGATGTAGGTTGATGAACAAAAATGCTCACTAAATCTATCTCCACTTTTCACAGAGAGGGAAAGTTGTAGGTGTGACCATTTGATCATATGCTAATGCAAGATGGGGTGGGGATGAAAAAAAACAACATGATCAGAAAATGGTTTTATGAGAAATCTTCGCTTAGTTCTGAAAGAACCTGGATCACTAATTCAAGCTGGTGGATCAGCCCCAAAGGGAGGACTCTGGAAGTACGAAGGGCCAATTCCACTGCTTTTTACAGCAATACTGAAATAGATGGGAGTGGATCCAGATTGTGCCCCCAATTCTCCACTCTGTTTGCAGGCAGCAGAAAGAAAGAATAGCTCAAAAAAGAAAATCAGAAACTGTAGCTCAGCCCTAAAAAAAAAAAAAAAGAGCAGGAATGGAATCATGAAAGTAATAAAATACCAAGCTATCGCTGAAAAGCCAACCAAAGGAGGATTTTTATTTGGCTGTTGCTAAATGCATCAAAAGAAAGGTATCCCC